ATTCACTCTGTATGTCTTTACAGAGATAGACTGTAACACATGTAGCACCCCACCCGTGATACTGAGTCTAAATCCACTTACCTCAGTTTGTACCCCGTAGGCGGGGTGTTAGGTTCGTTACAGCCTAGATACCACAAATGGTTCTGGTATAGACAGGAATCAGGGAAACTATCAGTAAACCTTTGCCTGCAAGTTAGACTTAATGTCATGGTCCCTGTGCCTGCCCAGCCGGCCTCACAAGGCTACACTTGTGTTTTTGCTTTTTCTCTTTCTCCCCTACCTCTCTGCCTGAGCGGAGCTCACAGCTGGCTCCCGCCCTTGGCTCACACAGCTGTTGACGATCAGCTGATTACCCATCTACTATTTGAGGCTGGGTCACAGATCCTCTCATCGCTGGATGATTGAGCTACTGACGTTAGTCTTTCTTTTGGTCTTATACCTTTACGCCCTACCTTCGTGATTTGTGAGTGATTTCTCCCTTTCCTGTTCCAGTTTATCTTCCCGCGGTACGGACGTGTGTGAGTCGGATGTGAGGACGTGAGCGAGCGTGAGAGAGAGAGAGAGAGAGAGAGAGAGAGAGCCTTCCCCTAATCCCCTGGAACCCTGGACTTTCCCCGTCACTGTATATATTATTGCACTGGTGTGTAAATAAATCGTGTTCTGAGACGTCAACCTGCTCTGCGCTTGAGTCCCTGCTTTCAGTTCGTGACACTTAACCAGTAGTAAAAGAATCAACCCCAGACAACTCTTTAACACAAACCAAATGTTTACTGAATGTAAGGGCTGGAAAAGTAATGTACAACACACCCTTTTCTTAACTCAACTCAAATGATATCCAGCTCCATAAACAAATGAAACATGCTGTGTAAATGAAATAATTCCCTTTGAAATTATGATAAACAACACAAATTATCACCTCTTGGTAAGTGACTCACTAATACACACTCGAAAATATGCTATATAAATCCACTAAATACACAATATTCACACATGGGCCCCACACACACTCACATTCACACTTGTTGCAGGCCTGTTTGCTGCTCACAGCGGACGATGGAGAAAAATCCTCTTCTCCCCAGTAAGAGCACGAAAGTCCGACTTACAGTTCAGTTGCTCGGTAGGTTGCCGTTCACCAGC